ATTAGAATAAGAATTAGAGTCCTTTTGGGAGTCATTTGGAGTCAAGTGTAAGGCAATATAATAGTCTAAATCTAGATCGTGGTTATCAATAAAGAATTTTGTCAATTAATCTCTTTGTCTCTTGTTCTTGAAGGTCTATGTTCCTCATATAAACAGATCATATCCGAAACTATATCATTGGTGCTCTTGTTCTTTTTCCATGGCAGATGAAACACGTACTTTGGATGATCAAGTGACTAAATTTAAGGCGGCATCAACAACATCTTTCAACCCATTTCAATGCACTTTGCCATGATTTGATGGTTCAAATTCGGCAGGATGGACATTTAAGGCTGAACAATATTTCAATAACCTTGATACGCCATCTGAACAACGATTGATTAGTTCTTCGTTTCACATGGATGGATAGGCTCTTTCTTGGTATCATTGGATGTCTTCCAATGGACAAATTCGTTCTTGGGATTCTTTTTTACTAGCCTTGGAAGTTAGTTTGGTATCATTGGATGTCTTCCAATGGACAAATTCGTTCTTGGGATACTTGTTTACAAGCCTTGGAGGTTCGTTTTGGACCCCCAAAATTGTGGATTATCAAGGGTAGTTGGTGAAACACGCGCAAACAAATGGACCTCAACTTCGCACTCTGGAAGATAGACCAGGTAACCAAGTTGATAGCTATTCAATCTTTGCAAGGCGCAAAGCTTGATTCAATGGAGGGTCTTCTCAACGAAATTTCATGGCAACTTATAGTATTGGAATCCCAGTTGGATCAACCCAAACAACAACCACAACAAACGACCTTTTTCCTGGACCTGAAAGTCATTTCTCAAGTGGGCTCTATAAGCCATTCTTCTGATTATGTAACGGTTGTCGTTGACCACCAGTCTACCGTTGACCTTCCCTTGGTCCCTGTCGGTCATAATAACAACAATCTTCCACCAATGAAGACACCCCTCACCAAGCCTCCCATGCGTTTCACCCTCTCCTTGGTAGTGCTGCTTGACTCTCCACTTCGAGTCGCCTATCGCAGCATCCTTGGCATGACCTCTAAAGTCGTCAATGGGAAAGCTTATCCCAGATGGGAACTCAATTTGGTTCATCATCTTCTCTTGGATTTACCTAATGAGCAAAAGGAGTCTCTCTTTAACGTGTTGATTTTTTACCCCGGCAATGGAACTTTGGTTGTCTCTTTATTGTGTTGGCCCTCATTTATGCCAACTGATGCAACCTTGAGGACAAGGTTGATCCGAAGGGGAAGGCAATGTTAGGAATCCGATTATGGGATGATTGAGGAGATATCCAAAAATGATACAATAAGTAGAATTAGGCATTTAGGATATCTTACAATTATGATACCTTTTAAAATAGGAGTTACAGTTACTCTGTTATGCAATTAGAATAGGAATTAAAGTCCTTTTGGGAGTCATTTGGAGTCAAGTGTAAAGCTATATAATAGCCTAAATCTAGATTGTGGTTATCAATGAAGAATTTTGTCAATTAATCTCTCTGTCTCTTGTTCTTGGAGGTCTCCGTTCCTCGTATAAACAGATCCTATCCCACACTCTATCACAAACAGGATAAATTTGCAGAGTAAGAAAATGGAGAATAAAACAAGATAAAAATGGAAGAGAAGAAATTCGAAATAGTACTTATATTGAATTGAAGTAAAAGACTTTTGACATAAGACAAAGACCTAGACTTGCTCTTTAAATAAGAAATAAACACCTGATGCTCAATTTCTTAAGCCTAAAGAAATGGAAGTAGTTCCATGACTCCACTAATGTAAATATCGGAATTGACTCCATGACTCCACTAACATAAAAATAGGAATTAATTGAGCATCACATTTCATCACTTTCCCTTGATGAAAAAACAGATATGCCAAGAAGATTCCTAAGGCCTTTAGTGTCTTTAAGAACTACCACAAGGCTATTAAGAAGTGATGACGACATCGACAACAAGGGGTTACATGATGGGGCTTGGTTTTAGGATGAACAAGGGCTAAAGTGTGAATTTTCTAAGTAATGGGAGGCTAGGTGTTTAGGTTGAGAAAGGGCAAAATGACCATTTCGCTAATTAACGGCTTTTCACTAACATGTATGGATGGAATGGGGGTTAGGATCTTATTTTCAAAACCAGTGAGGGCTCGATTCAATAGCTAAAACTCGTGGGAGTTAAGGGAAATTTCCCTAAATATAAAAATAATAATTATATAATAATTTGAATATAACTATTATTTTTGTTTCTTTCAAATCAATTTTCCAATATATAAAAAATAACTTGTAACGAGTTAGATGTTTAGGTCATTGAACAGTCAAATTTTATCCAATACTCACATTTTGAGATGCACTCATTCTGACATATAAAAAACGTTTGAGCCATGCCATCAAATTCAGCAGTCATATTTTAGAAGTTTCTAAAGATAATTTTGCTAAATAGCAAAAATGATATATGTTAGGGCCAAAAGATGTCCTCGGCCCAAATAGGCCCAAAGACGAAGACACCTTCAACAAAGCTGGAAGCCAAGGCCCAATTCCTACTAGGCCTACAACAAAGTTTACATATCAGGTCCGTTCGGCTCACTTACCCAGCTACCCACCATCTAGACCCAATCAGCAGAGGCCCAATTTGCTTAGGCCTCACCGCCAGTTTATCTTGGCCTAAGCCCTCCGATCTTAGACTACCTTCTGGACTTAGGATCTACTTGGAGCCCAGGATCGCCTACTTATCTCGGTACTATTTGAACTCTATCGAAGAGGTCCATCACTACCTTAATTCGTTAAAGATCTGTGTCATAGACCCGCTGGGACTCCCTTTCCTACTGAGGTAATGGAGCCAAAGTTTCCTTTTTCATAAAACCTCAACTCCCAAGGACTCTCAGTCCTACCAGGATTCAAAGATCCTACAATCGCTATTTAAACAGAGGCCAACCCTCTCACAGGGGACAAACATTACACATTTAGACCCCGTAGTTCCCACTCTTGAGAACTTCACATTACAGCAGTGTTATAATCTCTAACTAGACTTCTGGTAACCTTCTCTCTCCCTAACCCTCACTAAATTAGCCTCACTCAGCCTTGCTGACTTGAGCGTCACAGTGCCTACGACAAACACCATCCCGATGTTTACCGTCTGCTTCACGCTTGTTTTCTTGCGTGTGTAGGTACATCAGATTACTAGTGGCCTCAAGCTCATAGGATCAGTCCCTATTTTCGTAAAGGTAGATTTTTACATCTACAGTTTGGCGCCCACCATAGGGTCTAGCAATCATTCATCTCTCGAACCCTGCTTCATAAAGAAACTCTCTATGGTTGGAAATTCTGATAACACTAATCCTAGCCTCAAGGCCAGACTAAAAGCTCTGACTGCCCTTATGCAACAGCACTCAGACAAGGTGACAACATTGGAAGTTGAGAACACTGCCATCCGGACCGAAAACGCCTCTATCAGGGCCGAAAACAAATCTCTGAAAGAGAAGATAAGGCAATTTTATGACCTTGAGCTTCAACCTTGTCAGGTACAACCCAATCGATTCCACGTATTAGTTCCATTCGTGCAACCTCTCCAAACTCTAGAGTACAAACCAAAGATATCGGATACGAGGTCGCGACAACTTTATCCATCACTAGTGGACGATTCAAACTTGAATCATATTGAGCGGGAACTGCCTATAGAGCCACTCTCGGTCGACCCGCTGCAAGCACGAGATCAAGACATCCAAGTAACAGAAAGCCCACCACAACAAGAACCACCCATCCTTGCCATCCGGTCTCATCTTCAATCAACCATTCCTACCCCAACCCCACTCGACTCGACTCAACTCATCCTCGCAGGTCAAGCGGGCTCTCTCACCTTCAAACCATCCCGCTTGAGTCCCTCCATCCCTATGGACGGAGCGACTCCCAAATAACCCCTCTTACCATCCATACGGGATGAAACACCAAATCAATCACAATGGGAGCCACCTACCCAGAGGGAGTGAATGAAGATCTAGGCTACCAAGCGGCACACGATGGAATGGTTTGTTAGGCTACACCACGTGACTTGACCTAACGAAATGCACCGAGTGCGAATCATATGACCAACCGAGTCAACCAGGATGACCTAATGGTCTCCGCCTCGCCTATGAAACAGATATTGGCTAAAAGACCAGCTGACATAGAGGCAATGATGAGGCGTATACCAGGAGTACCAATCCCAACAAAAAAGAGCCAACCTCACTGCTATGCCGATTCACCCTTTATGGATACAATCGCGCTAGTCGAGATGCCTCACAAATTCACCATCCCCAACATGAAGCCTTATGATGGCACAACCGACCCAGATGACCATATAGCCTCATACAAGCAGCAAATGTTTGCCGCCTCGATACCCCAAACACTGAGGGAAGCCTGCATGTGTAAGAGCTTCAGATCAAGCCTCTCCGAACCAGCTCTTCAGTGATACACTAACCTTCCAAACAATTCAATCAGCTCATTCACCCAACTCACAAACACCTTTGTTGAACAATTCGTCAGCAGCAAGAAACTCGAGATGATATCGGCCGACCTATACAGAGTCTAGTAAAAGAGGGGGGAGCCATTGAGAGAGTCATCAGCAGATTCAACAAAGAGAAAATCTTCATCCCATCTTGCAACCCATAGATGGCAGTAGATGCTTTCAAAAAGGGTCTCCTCCCAGATGGAGAACTATACAAAGACCTAATGAAACTCGGTTGCACCACAATTGAAGATGCCCTAGCCAGAGTTGTGATTCAAATCAGGTAGGAGGAAGATGAGATGAACCGGATGAGGCATGCCAGATATGATGACCGTCACCAAAGGCAAAATGATAGAAGGTCAGAGTCCAGATCTTTTGAACCCCGCTATCAACCCCTTCCCTACAATTTGAGCAGAGTAAAAAAGCCATATGACCACCAGCCAACTAGAGCCGACAACAGACCATCCGGATCAAATCAATTCAAAGTTCCAGAGTATAACCTCAACGTCAAACTAGCCTAGGTCATGGCAATCATGAAAGGAATGGGACCTACTGTGAAGTGGTCAGCCAAGCTCAATCCCAAAGCGAAGAGGGACATGACCAAGTGGTGCAAATTCTACGGTGACCATGGTCATAACACCGCGGATTACATCGCCCTAAGATTGGAAGTTGCAGCACTACAGAAAATGGGACATCTCCGAGACCCATTGACAGATAAAGGGAAGAATACAGTCAGCTAGAGAAGCTCGAAGGAAACATTTCCCCTTCCACGGGAATCTTCACCAAAGGGGTTTTGCTCCATTATCTTTGGAGGGTCGGAGATCAGTGGGGTGAGCTATTTTTCAGGCAAGCGCTACGCCCAAGCCAACCATCACCTTGAAGTCTAATCCATTCATACGTCCTGTTGGGCGCACACTAACCAGGTAATTCAGTTTGAAGATAATAAGCCAGTCACCCTTGCCGCCTCTCATCACGATGCTCTGGTCATCTCCTTCCAAATCGCCAACATCCTAGTCAAGAGAGTATTCGTAGACGGGGGATCCTCAGCAAAAATCATCTTCCTTGAAGCAGTGAAGGCCACAAGACTGGATGAAACGAACATCAATAGACAACCAACCATACTGGTTGGGTTTAGTTTCAAGCAGAAGTACACCATCGGAGAAATCGCCTTGCCTGTCTACACCAGCGGAGTCAACAAGGAAACCATTTTCCTAGTGCTTGATTGCCCCTCACCGTATGACATCATCTTGGGTCGACCCTGGATCTACGACATGCGAGCTGTTCCATCCACCTTACACCAAACTATAAGGTTTTCAACAAAATGGGGAGTAAGAGAAATCAAGGGCAATCCTAAGGCCTTTAGAGACTGCTACAAAAACGCCTTCAAAAGCAAAGGTCATGCCTCATAGCAACTACAGTCTCATCCAACCCTTCCGACCGAGCCAGATCAACCATCCATGGAAAAGTTGGATAAAGTACAGATACACTCGGATCACCCTGACCAGAAAACCCATATAGGCTCTTGCCTTGGGCTCGAGATAAGAGAGCGACTCATAGAATTTCTCAAACAAAACCAGGACTGTTTTGCCTGGTCCCACGTAGACATGACAGGAGTTAGCCCCAAGGGAATTGTCTACCACTTCCAAGTAGATCCAAATCACCCTCCAGTGAAGCAGAGGCGAATGAAGTTCGCACCAGAACGCAACTAGATCGTCAATGAGGAGATTGACAAACTACTAAATAACGGGCTAATCAGAGAAGTCTACTACCCTGACTGGCTAGCAAACGTTGTGGTCATGAAGAAAAAGAACGGAAAGTGGAAGGTCTGCATAGACTTCACGAATTTGAACAAAGCATGCCCTAAGGATTACTTCCCGCTCCCACATATTGACATGATGGTTGATGCGATAGCAGGTCTCAAACTTCTAAGCTTTATGGATGCCTTCTCCGGGTACAACCAGATTTTGATACACTTAGACGACCAAGAGGAAACAGCCTTCATCACAAAAAGGGGGACCTACTACTACAAAGTAATGTCATTTGGTCTTAAGAACGTCGGGGCTATCTACCAGCGACTAGTCAATAGAATGTTTGCTAAACACCTCAGAGACACCATAGAAGTATACATCAACAACATGCTCGTCAAGTCTCTTATGGCCGAACAGCACCTAGACCACCTCAACCATGCGTTCGTTGTCCTAAGGAAATACAACGTGAAGCTGAATCCAGCCAAATGTTCGTTCAGAGCCTCGTCAGAAAAATTCTTGGGATACATGGTAACTCAGCGTGGGATAGAAGCCAACCTTGACCAAATCCAGGCGATCCTCAACATACCATCACCAACTTGCATCAAAGACGTCCAACGCCTCGCAGAACGAGTAGCTACCTTGAGTCACTTCATCTCCAGATCCGTCGACAAGTGCCATTATTTCTTCGCCACACTCAAGAAATCTAGGAAATTTGAGTGGACCCCCACCTACGAAGAGGCCCTACAACAGTTAAAGAGGTACCTAACCTCTCCCCCACTCATTTCCAAGTCCGTGGTTTGGAAAAAGCGTTACACCTACCTAACGGTCTCAGAGATAGCCATCTCAACAGTACTAGTCTGGGAAGACAATGTGAAGCAACTCTCAGTTTACTGTTAAAGCAAATCACTCATCGATGTTGAGACACGATACAAGCAGTTGGAGAAACTAGCACTCGCGCTCGTATATGCATCTAAGAAGCTCAGACCATACTTTCAAGGCCACTCCATAATCGTCCTCACCTCCTTCCCACTCAAGAAGATACTCCATAAGCCAGAGCTATTAGGTTGACTCACACAATGGACAATAGAGCTTAGTGAGTTCGATATATCTTTCCAACCATGCACCGCTGTCAAATCCCAAGCACTGGTAGACTTTATTGCTAATTTCACGTTGAACACCACCATCCAAGTGGAAAAGGAGTTATTGTGCATGAATAGCGGATTGCCTTCGAAGTGGACTCTCTCAATAGATGGCTCAAGCAACGTGAATGGAAGCAGGCTCAACTTTGTACTTATTACACCGAAAGGGGATATCATCCAACAGGCCATATGATGTGGGTTCAAGTGCACAAACAACGAAGCCAAATACGAAGCCGAATACGAAGCTCTCATCGTTAGACTCTTTCTGGCCAAAGAGATCGGAGTAAGGAAGCTAGAGGTAAAATCCGACTCTCAACTCGTAGTCAACCAGCTGCAAGGCACTTACCAAGCCCGAGACTCAAAGATGACAACCTACTTGAACTTGGTCAAAGAAATGCAGACCGCCTTCGAAGAATTCTCCATCACCCAAGTCCCAAGAATGGAGAATACCTATGTTGATACCCTTACCAACCTCGACTCAGTCTTTCAAGGCTCCTCCCAATCGTCCATCCCACTATTGTTCCTCCAATGGCCAACTGACTGGAAGGAACATCCAATAAATAAGTTACCCAAAGAAGTAATGGACGTCAAACTGGCCGACTCCTGGATGACCCCAATACTCAAATACTTGGAACATAATGAGCTCTCAACCGACAAGAGTGAAGCACGCCGCCTAAGAGCGAAAGCTACAAGATTCACCATATACGAGGGTCAGCTCCTTAGGAAGTCGTTCTTTGGCCCTTACCTTAAGGGCATAAGCCCAAAAGAAGCCAAGCGGGTTCTCGCCAAACTCCATGAAGGCAAATGTGGAAACCATGCAAGAGGACGTAGCCTTGCCCACCGGATGATCACCGTTGGCTATTATTAGCCAACCATATGCACTGACTCAATGGCCTATGTGAAGAAATGTGACAGTTGTCAGAGGTTCAATCACGTCTCACACCTCCCACCTAAGCGACTCAACTCCACTCTCGCACCTTAGCCATTCATGAAGTAGGGAATGGATATAGTTGAAAAACTGTTGACCACACTTGGGCAGCGGGTCTTCATGTTGGCGATCACCGACTACTTTACTAAGTGGATCGAAGCCGAAGCACTCGCCCAAGTCAAAGACCGAGAGGTAAAAGCCTTCATCTAGAAACACGTCATCTGTAGATTTGGAATACTGAAGGAAATAGTCATCGACAATAGATCCCAATTTATCAGTTCAGGCTTCAGAGACTTCTGTGACATGTGGGGGATCAAGCTTAGCTTCTCAATCCCCTGCAACCCCCAATCAAACAGCCAGGCTAAGTCATCAAATAAAACAATCATGCTGACTTTAAATAAGCGCCTCTAGAAAGCCAAGGGCATATGGGCAGACAAACTACCCGAGGTCCTCTAGTCCTATCAAACAATAGCCCTCTCGTCCAAGGGCGAGACTCCTTTCTCCCTTACATATAGATCTGAAGTAGTCATCCCAGTCGAAATATTGGTCCCTCAACCAGACTCTAATGGTTGGACGAAGAAACCAAAAGCCAAAACCTTTGTTATAACTTGGACACAATTGATGAACTACGCAAGTGGGCGAACATCCGCAACGTAATCTACTAGCAGCAAGCCGCTCGACACTACAACCGTAATGTCTGAGTCAGAACTTTCAAACTAGGCGATTGGGTCCTTTGCAAAGTCTTTCAAAACACTAAAGAGGTCAACTCTGGTAAGCTTGGCCCTACTTGGGAGGGCTTTACAAGATTGCCAAGAAAGTAGGGAAAGGCATTTATAGACTCCAAACCCCTGAGGGCAAGGACATCAGCAACAGTTGGAATGTAATCCATCTCAAACGTTACTATTTTTAGTCATTTCCGTTTTCTTGTTTTGTTTTAAAAAGGATGAATGGGCCTGTTTTCCGTCCAGGGGCGAGACTCTTTCACCGTCAGTTGGCCTCATGGCTTGAATTCAATAAAAGAACTATTCAGCGATAGAGCAACATACACCTTCAATCAGCTCAAACTGATTCATCAACTTACACCTTTAATCGGCTTAGACTGATTCATCGACTCACACCTTCAATTGGCTCAGACCGATTCATCGGCTCACACCTTCAATCGACTCAGATCGATTCATTGACTCACACCTTCAATCAGCTCAGACCAATTCATCGACTTAATACGTCAATCGGCTTAAACCGATTCATAAACTCATACCTTCAATTGGCCTAGACCGGTTCATGAACTTACACCATCAATCGAGCCAGACCAACTCATAAAACTTACATATTTAATCGCCTCAAACAGATTATCGACTTACACCTTCAATCGGCTCAAACTGATTCATTGACTTACACCGTCAGACGGCCCAGACTGACCTAGCAACTCAATGGCTTACATATCTGGCCGACCATATCGACACGCAACCACGACATTGGTGACTCAGCCACTTAGCCTCGTCCACATCATAGCACAAGTAGTGGGTTCAACTCCCAAACATCTACAAGCAATCAAGCAATCAACTCATCCATTCACGAGGAAAGCAGTAAAAGGGAAACACAAGTAGAAACACAAAGCCCCCAACGGCTATAAATAAGATCAACAAAAGAGCCTTAGGCAGCTAAGTATTGGGTACAAGAAAGGCACATACACTATGAAAGGGCATCGCAGCCTCCAAAAATACATGAGAAAAGGAAAAATAAACCTAAGGGGCATCATGATCCACATCGTTGGCGCGAGTCATCTCACTCATCTCCGACTCAGTTACCCTATTACTGACCCTAGCGGTCGCCCCTGTAGCCTAGTCACCAGCATCCTTTGTAACCGATCACCCCGGTTGGCTAGAAAGGTCAAATATCTGATCATCGACCAGCTCCTCCATATAACCCACGCAGCTAGCAGCCTCCTCCTCCTCCTCCTCCTCCGTCTCCAGCAAGAGTTGGATGTCCTCATCCGGGTTCCAGTGAGAGGTGCTCCTGGCCTTGTACTCTAACATCAGCTCTCCCCTAGCTCTGATGGTGGCATCATCGACACTACTGAGGCACTGCTCCCTCTGGGACTCGACCTCCATGTTATTTTCGGCCAACTCCCTCTTCAATCGTTCCAACTCGGCCTCGACCTCCCTCAGTCGATGTTGGCTCCCCCGCTAGGCTTTCTAAGCTGCTGCTTCTCTATGTCGCAGATTGGCATTAGATTTGGATACATCCTGTATCCTCTTCTCCTACTACATGTTGTGTGTTTCTTATAACATGCAAATGTAGCAAGTATACTAGTCGCACAAAGTAATAAAGTGATAAGTAGAGTATCGTTCCCACGAGGATAGTGTTACTAAGTATCGATTTCCCTAGTTTAAGTCCTAATTAAAGCAACAATAAATTGGATTGATGGAAAATTAACAACTAAATACAAATTAACAAAATATAAATGAATGATAATGAAATTAAAGCAAAACCCAACAACTTAACTAATTAAACAATGCTAAAAAAATGCTAGGGTGTTGATTTCACCTAGATACGCTAACCCAAATAATAGAATCTATTACCCAAGTTCTAAT